GTGTGTGTGTGTGTGTGTGTGTGTGTGTGTGTGTGTGTGTGTGTGTGTGTGAGAGAGAGAGAGAGAGAGAGAGAGAGAGAGAGAGAGAGAGGTGGAGGTCCTACTTGGCCCTCCAACCACTTGGGGGGACAAAAAGAAAAGATGGGCTGGGGTGGTAAGGGGAAAATGGAAATCAAATGGGTTTTTTGGAAGGTTGGCCAAGTACAGGGGAGTGGGGGTTTAGTTTTGGTTTCTAGACCTGTGTGACAGCATGGGGCAGTTATGTGGATGGAAAAAGAAAGGGGGACAGTCCGTAGCATCAGGGACCATGCCAACAGGACCAAATTGAATCCCTGTGCCTTCCCTCAGGTGGTGGTCCCCTCCCCTACGAACATCAGCAGACTCTGCTCCATGCCTATCAGGGGATCCAGTGGTCTATCTCTAGGTGGCGGGTGCCAAGCTGCAAAGGAAGGTACATGAGGCCACGCCCACGTGCAGGTCGGGAGCAGCCCCCGCATGTTCTCTCGTGAACACCGGTCTCGCTGCTACGGGGTTCCCTGTATGCCTACAATTAGTAGTAGTGGTAGGTAGGTAGTGGGAGGTCAAATTGAGAGAAGAACATAGCTTTAAAAAAAAAACTGAAAAAAAAAAAAAGAAAGTGAATGCAAAGAGGTTATTAAAATGAAAAAGGACCACCTCCGGCCTGCACTTTCGTGATTGTCACCTGACATGCACCCTGGACTTCCGGAAGTGCACCATTCTGACTCTGGCAACAAAAAGGCTCCCCACATTATTTCGCTCTTTACGAAATACCTGCCATTCTGCACAACCTGTGAAAGTCCAAGGGGTTCTGCTTTGTACCGTCTTCCCCCAAACATAACGCGCATGCCTTGTATCCAAGTGTTTGAAAAAATCAAAAATTCAAATAGAACACACATGTGTTGTACTCGAGAATACGGGCTGCTCGAATAGAACAGACGTGCCTTGTATTCCAATAGAAAGCAACCTATGCATTGTATTCGCTATGTTCCGGGGATGACGGTAGCAATTCTGCACAACCTCTGAATGTCCAAGGGGTTCTGCTTTCTAGCATGCCCCAGACCACACAAGAAATGAAAACAAGTCAATGGCTACAGGGAGATAATCCCAATTTGAAAGAGTGCATCAACGCGACGGCGTATTTCATTCAGTCCTTGCTTTGAATCCACGTGAAAATCCCTCCTACCGTATCCACCCAAATAGAATGCCTGGTTATCACAGCTGTAGTGAGGGCGATTTTCAGTCTAAAGGCAGCCACAATGACCAGGCCTTCTATTCCTATTCGGGTGAAGACAGTAGTTTTCTGGACCCTGCAATCAAGACAGAATCAATGGCTCTATCAGCTGTGGCGCTGTTCAGAGTG